CCACTGCGAGATTTATACAGATCACAAGAGATTACAGTATATCTTCACGCAGAAGGAGCTCAACATGCGCCAGAGGCGATGGTTAGAGCTCGTGAAAGATTATGACTGTACCATTAACTATCATCCAGGCAAGGCGAATGTTGTTGCCGACGCCCTCAACCGTAAGGAGAGAGGCGGACTGACTTGTATGATCACCCAACAGTGTCAGCTGATCAGAGAGTTCGCCCAGATGCAGTTAGAGGTCGTCGAATCACCTCCTACATTGCCAGTTGTGGGAAGTATTCGAGCGATGAGGATGTGGCCTATGCTTAGAGACAGGATCCGGCGGGATCAAGCCTTTGACGAGTTCATTCGCTTGATGGGGGCGAAGATTCATGCCGGAGGAGTTGAGGGTTTCTACCGAGGCACTGATGGTGCCTTGGAGTACAAGGGAAGGATCGTTGTGCCGAATGTCGAGGCCCTGAAGAAGGAGATCTTGACTGAGACGCATAGTGCTCCATACTTGGCGCACCCCGGTAGCACCAAGATGTATCACGACCTGAAAAGGTCATTCTGGTGGAAGGGGATGAAGCGAGATGTCGCCGAGTTTTTTGAAAAGTGTTTGATCTGCCAGCAAGTGAAGGCTGAGCACAAGGTTCCACCAGGTCTTTTACAGCCTTTAGAGATTCCGCAGTGGAAATGGGAGAAGCTGACCATGGACTTTGTCACGGGATTACCGATGTCGGCCAAGCGCCACGACGCGGTATGGGTAGTAGTGGATCGACTGACAAAGTCGGCCCATTTCATGCCTGTCAGGATGGACATGTCCATGGAGCAGCTAGCAGAGACGTATCTCCAGGGAATCGTTTGACTCCCCGGCGTTCCAGCCGAGATTGTATCAGATAGAGATCTCTGATTTATTGGCCATTTCTGGAAGAGTCTGAACGAGTCCATGGGGACGAAGCTGAAGTTTAGCTCCGCCTATCATCCACAGACCGACGGTCAGTCGGAACGGACCATCCAGACACTTGAGGACATGCTCCGAGCTTGTGTCCTAGAGCATGGTGGTTCGTGGGAGCAGTTGATACCCACTGTGGAGTTTGCCTATAATAACAGTTTCCACTCGTCGATAAAGATGGCACCATTCGAAGCTTTATACGGTTGCAAGTGCCGCTCAACCCTTTATTGGGATGAGGTCGGAGAGAAGCAGGTTCTCGGTCCCAAGTTGATTGAGGACACAGTGCAGATGGTCGCCGAGATCTGAGCGACATTGAGAGAGGCTCAGAGCCGACAGAAGGCCTACGCTAACAAGCGTAGAAGGGAGCTTGAGTTTGAGCAGGGAGACAAAGTATTCCTGAAGGTCACGCCGATGAAGGGTGTGTTCCGTTTCGAGAAGAGGGGGAAGTTGTAGCCCCAATTCATAGAGCCATTTGATATTCTCGAGCGAGTTGGTGTAACAGCCTACCGTCTGGCGTTACCCCCAGAGCTCTCGGGTGTACACAACGTCTTCCCTGTGTCGATGTTGAGAAAGTACGTGTACGACCCGAGTCACATAGTGAACTTTGACGGGCTAGAGGTCGGGCAGAACCTGACGTATGATGAGCGGCCGGTAGCAGTTCAGGACCGAAAGGTCCGTCGGCTGAGGAACAGAGATATAGAGCTCGTCAAAGTTTGCTGGAGTCGCCACGACGAGTCGAAAGCCACTTGGGAGAGAGAGGCCGAGATCAGAGCTCGTTATCCAGATTTCGAGTTTTAAGATTTTCAGCTTTACATATATGTACTTTCTAGCAGCGTCGGCCCAGTGCCTGTTCGTGCCCAGCCGCACGGCAGGGCCTCAGTCCATTCTCGGCCGTGCCCAGCGTGCACCCGAGAGGCACCAGCCGTGCCAGGGCCGTGCCAGCAGCCTCTGGCCGTGCCCATCCGCGCCAGCGCGCGCCCAGCCTAGTCCAGCGGCACTAGGGACCGAGTGATGAGAGATCGTGCGTCCGATTGCCGGTCGAGCCACAAAAGCGCCTCGGTCACGACGATAGGTTCGGAGGTTCACTTGCGCGCCCCTTCGAGAATTAATTGCAAAAGAAAACGTAGGGAATTCTAGAGCGTAGGGAATTAATTGTACATATTTTTGAATGCCTAAAATAACAAGAGCATAGGCCTTTATATAGGCGTCAAAGTAAATCTAGTCCTAATCAAACTAAACAACCAAATAAGCAATAAAATATTAAGAGTCCTAAATAATCTAGAAAGCATAAAGTAATAAGGAAACTAAAGATCTAGAAGAATCCTAAAGATCCTTGACTTGCGCGGCACGTCCGAAACCCTAACCGCCACGGGTCTCGCCTTTGGCCGCTTTGCCTATTGCCTCGAGGACTAAGGCATCCTTGTCCTCGCGCGCGCGTGCACTCTCCTCATTTGCTTCCCCTGATTCCTCGAGGACGATGGTCGCGCGCGTCTCCCTGCCAACACGTGCCCACACGCATGCGCCNATTTTGGCATATAATTAAATATTCCGAGCATTATACTTAGCATTATTTTGCTTAAATATTTATGTATCCTAAGGAGAGTCGAGCCTCCGACCGCTACCCAGTATCAGCACTTGCATCAGATTCCAAGTTTTCAGGTGGGGGTCATGTACTGGATTCTACATCATAGATAATATCTGTACCATGACAGAGGTATGTATTGAGACAGTTAGTTCCGGGTGGGGGCTGACCTAAGGGCTTAAATATCCCATCTGATGACCGGTGGGGGGCCGACCTGAGGGCCTTTATACCCCATCGGTGTGTTCACACGAGCGGCTGAGGGTCTTTTGACCACAGAAAAGAGAAAAAAGAAAAGTTTACAGTTTCAGCTCTTATATATTTATGTTCATGACACGTTATTATAGATGATGTTTTATTCAGTACTGGTCTTTGCGGAGCATAGTGGTTTGCTCACGCCCCCATTGTGTTTTTCAGGAGACGGAGTCGAGCGTGCCGGATGAGCACAGATGTGGCGAAGCATGGTCATGAGAGTTGGGCATATTTTACGCACATTTTTGTCCTAGTTTATGATCATGTATTTGATTCTGTTATGTATGCATGTATTCTGTTTTTCGGATGCTTCCGCTAACAGACTAGACAGTTCAGACATTGCATGTTTAATTCCATTATCCGCAGCGGATAGCTTGGTTGCATGTTTAATTTATGTCTGTGAGAAAGTTAAGTTAAGTTTTATCTCAGTATTTTCGAAAACCAAGCTCGCACAACCTTTTGAAAATAAAAACAAAAATTTTACTCTGATTTTTCAAAGCTAGTAAGGCGGGGTGCGACATATAATAATAATAATAATAATAATAATAATAATAATAATAATAATAATAATAATAATAATAATAATAATAGTAGTAGTAGTAGTAGTAGTAGTTTTCATATAGTTCGGTCGGTTCCGTTATTTCAATTATATTAAAAAATAAAGCCGACATCGAACCGAAATAACCGAGATTTTTTAATAGTAAAAAAAAAATAATCGAACCGAAATATAAGTTTTGGAACCGAAAATTTTAATTTGGTCAGATTCGATTGCTATTTGTTCAATCTGATAGTCAGTGATATGCAATTCGTATAACGTTATTGTGCACCTATAGAGTAGACATTTATTAATGATTTGTTCCAAACTAAACTAAAATCGAACTGAAACAATCAATTTGTTAGATCGGTTAACCGAATTACTCTATATACTTGTAATGATTTATTATTATTATAAAAATATTTTGAGTATTTTAATATTTTTATTTAAAAATCTATATCATTTTTTGTTTCATACTGTATGAAATATCGAAATCAATAAGGTGCATTCCCACAAACAATCATGTGCATTTGGTTGAAAATTATCGTGCAGTCTATTGATTTAGTTTTTTATGTGTATTCTAATTTTAGAAACTTTTTTAATGTGTACTTCAATGAATTATTTTGCATCATGGATATAATAAAACTATATTTAGTATTTATATACTTTATGCAAAATTTTGATATTATTATTTGATGAAAATAAATAATATATACTGACAAAAATATTAGGATATTATTTTTTTATATTGTTATGTCGATTATGTTATTTTATTTTGTTTTTTTTAAATAAGTTGAAACCGAACCAAAATAACTGAAAACTTAATATATAGTTAAGATGAACACTAGTATACAACTTTTTTTTTTGTCATTCGGTAGCACAGCTACCGTGCAAAACACACTGATATTCTAATGTGCATTTGGTATAACATTAAGATGCAATTTGTTATTCACTAATGTGCATCATGTTTAATATATTTGTGCAATTTGCAATGTGATGTTTTTTTTTAATGTGCAAACTAAACTAAAATCAAACCGAAATAATTGAGTTATTCTCTTGGCTACCTAAAAAATGAAATAAATTTTATTATTTACATTAAAAAAAATATTTAGTATTTTAATGTTTTATATTATTTTTTATTTGAAAATATTAAATACATAATATATATATGTGTGTGTATAAAAAATATAAAAACATTTTTATGTATTTTTTATAAATTTCGAATTTGATAGTACTAAATTCAAAATTAATCAGAATTATTTAAAGTGCTAATGGGCATTTCTTGATGCATTGCGCCACATATTACTGTACAATTATAAACTTTTAATAAATTATCTATTTAACCTATGAATTGAAATAAACTATAATAAAATTTCTACAGTTGCAATTAAGTCTCTAGTTATTGTCAAATTTTCAACTAAAGTCCTTTAACATACATTAACCCCATCCCCAAATTCACGCTACCCCGCCGTCGGTCCCGTCATTCATCCCTTGCAATTTCATCCCCCAAGCCGTGAAATTTTCATCCTCTAGTCGTGAGAGATTTCAATTTGCCGGTTTTTCAAATTTCGGATGGTCCGAAACACCATCAGTTTCTCACACCCAATATCTCCGGCGACGAATATAGTATGAAGGGTTCATTCTCTCCCTTCGCCTGCTCGATCTCTCCAACGATCCGCCGGTGACTTGCGGCGGCGATGGAGTACTATGACGGGATAGATATCCTTTCAGTTCACGTGAAATTGCCGATATCAGATGAAGGTTAGGGGGGCGGGAGGAGGAGTGGCGACGGAGGCGGCGATTGGGACATGGCGACGGTGGCGAAATGAAGGGCATATGAAGCTTGGTGGTGGCAGTTATGGAGATGGTGCGTGGGTTGAGGGAGAGACAATTGGTGTACCCTGCTGTAGGAGGGAGTGAGAATGTGTGGGTAGGAGAGAGAATGTGAGTGGTGGGGCCCACTTAATGAGAATCAAATGTCTTATATAACTTTTACTGGTACATAATTTTTTAGTTAATTTTACGGTTGGATTGTCGCAATTAATGGCTATTTCTTATTTCTCTCACTGAGAATCATTTTCACTGGAGCGCAACCCTATATATATATATATAAAAGTACGTTCAAATGAGAAAGGAGTACAATGAAAGAAATGAGAATAAATCACAACCATCAGATACATCATATCAATGTCCATGATCAAGTTAAAGTTTAATAAATAATAATCAATTATTAATGACAATATGGTAAATAAGTATATATACAATGGATAAATATACATCATTCACCAGTAAATTAGTCATTAACCAATTCAAACCCATCTAACATACTTTAATCTCTCTCACACACCAACATACACAAATGACACACTTCTTCACACACACGGAATACACACACTCACACACACAAAAAGTCACACATAGAGCCACCAACAGACACCTGCTCCGTCGCCGGCAAGGCCTGTCGCCGGAACACGCGCAGCCGGTCACGTTAACACCGTTGTCACAGCCCGTCGCCGTCACGAGCCGAGCCACCATCACCAACCTTCTCCGCCGTCGGAAACGGCCTGTCGCCGCCACAAGCTCAGGCGGTCGCCAGTCGCGTTGACACCAGTGCTACAGCCCGCCGCCGTCACCATCCCCAAACAACACAGCCCCACACACCAGCCGGAGATTCAACACAGAACTCGACAATTGCCGGCCTCCGCCGTCTCCCACCGCATCTCCGCCGCTGCCGATGTCTGTCTCAAGGTACGACTGGCAGCAACTCGCCTGAATACGGAATCTCGTCGAAAATCGACAGTTTAACGAATCTCGAGCACCGGACACAGATCCAGCAAGTGACTGAGCGGCGAGATCTCTAATATAATCTGAACATTAAATAACTTGCAGTCTTCGAAGATGACCGGAATTTGAATTTTGAGGGCTAATGGACGGCGGGCCGGTAAGTTGGTGTGACCGACATTCACAGAGCATCAATTGCACCACTTCTCATGAGTTACGAATTGGGGGTGGGGGTGGACTGCTGCTTATTGAAATTAGATAATTCAAAGGGTCTAATATGAAATTTTATGAATTTAATTATATTACAATTAACTTTGTTTGTTAAATCTGTAATTAACAAACAAAATATTAAAGGCACAATAATGAGGAATAAAGTGCACAATACCGTGTGTGTAGATGCACATTAGAAATTTAAAAAATTACAAAAATGTCAATGCAATACATCGATTTGGGCTAAAATTAATACATAAAAAAATTATAAGAAAAAAAGTAATATTTTTATATAGTTTGATCGTTCGATTATTTCGGTTAAAAAAAAATCAACATCAAACTGAAATAATCGAGTTTTTGTTTTTTTTAAAAAAAATTGTTCGAACCAAAATATAAAAAATTAAACTAAAATTGTAGTTCGGTCGATTTTGTTTGATATTGTGCAACTCGATAGTCATTAACCTGCAATGCGTCTAACACTAGCGTGCGCTCACAACAATTGCATCTTTAATGATTTGACACAAACCAAATTAAAACCGAATCGAAATAGTCAATATATTTGATCGGTTAATCGGCTATTTTGATCAACAAAAATAGTTAAATAATTTTTTATTATTTATGTTATAAAAAATATATTTAGTGTTTAAATATTTTATATTATTTGTGGTCAAATGACATAACATATAAAATTCAAAAATCGATAATGTGCATTATCATAAGGACTAATGTGCAGTTCGTATAACATTATTGTGCACTGTACTTTCTTATGTACATTTAAATCTTAGACAACTTTAATATTTTGTATATCAATCAATATTATTTTGTATTTATTGAATTATTTATATAATAAAAATGTATTTCAACTTTTATGAGCATTATAAGTTGTTATGTTAATGTGCATTCTCGAACGCATTAACGTACATTTGGTCTAATACAATTGCGTAGTCTGACATATACTAAAGTGCATATTGACTAATACTATTGTGCATTCTATAATGCATGTTTTTTTATGTGCAAATTCAAACTAAAATTGAACCAATAATTGGATTATTCGGTTAGTTAATTACATTAACCTAAATAATTGGACTAATATATTGTTTATATTGTATATATATTTATTATTTTAATATTTTGTATATAATTGTGTGATTATTCAAATTGATCATAAACTAGTGCACTTTAAGGGACTAAGAAATCTTGTTTTATATATCCGATAAAAATATTATAAATTAATATCCATTGAATTATGGTAAAAACAAAAATATATTGTGAGACCATTTTTACTTATGCTTTACATAATTTGTTTCAATAAATGTAAAGAGTAGTAAAAAGTAAAATGTTCAAAATATCTTCTTTTTTATTTAAAAATTACTTGAAAATATTGTGGGCATTATTTTAATGTGCATAGTGTGCAATTTATTTAACATTAATGTGTAATTCATTTAATTTTTGCATTGTAATCATCATTATCATGGAACTATTAAGTTTTTATTAAATTACAAACTGACCCATGACCAAATCTGCAACTTAATGAAAATTATTGATATTTTAGATAAGTCCTTGGGATTTGTCTAATTTTCAAAAAAAGGCCCTCCACCCCCAAATTGTCACAAACCTTGTGACAATAAGGTTTAGCAGAAAACAAATATGCTTATCCTTATCCGTACACAAAGTCTCTAAACAAAGTTAGTTCCAAGTATTAAATACAAGAATTGCACAAAAATTGAAAGATAAAACACGGATAATTAAAAGATTAATAGACAACACACGATCTCGATTTCTCGGTCAGTTGTCCAGTCCTTGCTCAGTTCATCCTCGTCTTAAGTGAGAGCATATTCACGGGATTCTCCCTCTGTATTGACCAAAGGTCGAACAGAAGAGTCCATCCACGTGAGGATTCAGTCACATTCGTCCACCGTTGATCCTCTCTTGCGTAGGTCACCAATTTCCTTCATCCGCACTTGAAATGAAACCACACGATCCTCTTCTGACCTCAAAGACAGTAGTCGACATAGCGAACGATAACAGAATAGTCGAGTTAGGACTCTGCGTATATAGTACCACATGATATATAACTCAAATGTCTACAACTTTGCTGAAGATCATATTGGTAATAATCACATTAACCACGAGTTTAAACACAAAACATGTGACTCAATGAATCTTTCAAAACTAGTATAATGAACATGGATAGCACCTCAGTTATTCTCATTTAACTCGAGCTACACACCTTCAAATGATATGGTTCCAGTACCAAATTAAACCTTAGGTATGTCTCTACAACTTTTATTTAGAACACAGAATCATATGAGATCATTTGGATGGTACAAAATCAGTTAACATTCCATATCAGATTCCTGTCCAATAAAAATGTTTAACTCATGCATGTCCAACTTCATAAGAGCACAACTTGAGCTACAGAGCACGTATAACCATAAAATGTATCTCATTTGAATGACAAGAAACAAACCTATAACTTTCATGAAGAGTAAAAATCTATACGAGCATATTACAACATGATAAACAGGTCATACATAAAATACAGATATGCTGCCGGGTTGTAGGAAAAATGAACGCGCATCGTTTTTGTAAAAACCACAACTTATTCGATATAACTCGGAATCGAGAAATTCCAAAATCCAGATTTAGAAAACTCAGCATACTACATATCTCATGAAGGACACAACTTCAAATATTCAGTCTATGATGGCTCAAAATGCAGCACAACAGATCTGCGATTAGCGTGTTTTCACATAAAATAACGATGACTTATAAAATGAATGGTTCGAAACTCGACAACGATCAATATACTTTCTCGACAACAAATAAACGAGCACATTGAGGTTCAATCACAGCAACAACATGATATTCTGTTTAACGAGGTCACGAGCATAACTCGATAAACGAAACGATATAAACGAGCCGGTAACCATTCTAATCAAATCCGATTTCAAACCAATTTTAGGCAACACGTGTAATATTTTTAGCTATCGTGTAATATACGAACACGACCGAAATAACGAGAGGATTCGAATAAGTTACCCGTCTTCGGGAATCTACGAGCTATCAAAAGAAAAACGAGCCGAACAATGGCCGGACGAACGGGTCGAGAATCGGCTCGGGAACGGAACTTGGAATAACGAAAAGGAAACGAGGGTGCTGTGGGCTTGCTTCACGCCGGCAGCAACTCGCCGGAAATGGCGTCGGCTCGCTGGAATTGGTGGCGGCTGAGCGTCACGGAGGTGCGGGCTCATCGGAGAATTGTGACGGGCTGCCGTTGGTCGCTACGGAGGTGCTCGAGGACGCTGGAGTGCTGCACGTGGAGGAGTGGCTCGCCAGGGAGGTTGACGGAGAGGCTGAAACTCGAGACGGCCGTTGAAGACGCCGGCAGCAACTCACCGGAGATGGTGGCGGGGCTGTTGGTGTTTGGTTGCACGCGCGGGGAGCTCACCGGTGAGGGATGTTGGTGGACTGAGGTAATGATAACAGACGGAGGTGGTGATGACGAGCTGGGAGTGGCGGAAAGAAGAAAAATCTTTCTCTGATTTTTCTGCTAGCGAGGACGATGAGGGAAGACGTTCAGGCGAGAGAAAAATATTGCGGCTGAGAAAGATGAGAGAAGATGCTGAGGGTGAAGTGATCGGAAGGAAGAAAATGAAAAGACGAAAAATGACGAGAGTTTCTGATACAAGAGATAGCGAGAGGTAGAGCTTGGGGCGTGATTGGATTTCTCTGATCCATTTTTGGGGGAAGGCAATCTGATTTTCGAAACGAAAGAGAGAGGAGAGATGAGGTGTTTTTAATGGGTATTAATGTGAGATAAATATTAATCAATTTGATACAAATCTCACTATAATAAGAGGATTAATTAGGCATTAAATCAGCCCCTCTTGACCGAGCCTTAAGGGAAAGGTGAGCTTGTCAATTGGTCAAAAATTTATCATAAAACTTTGGACAATTTGAATTCGAAAATCAAATCAATCCCAATTAAATCCAATGAAAGGTGATGTATTCGGTTTTAACCAAACGGTCCGATTTTTCTCGAGCTAAAAAGGCCGAAGGCCACATAATAAGGGCTGGTCCAATCGGTTCGAAGTTCGGGTTGAAACGGCTCGAGAACGAATTAAAACGGATAAAAGTTCGATTTACGAGATTAAACCGAAAATCACGGAAACAAATTTTAAATTCTGAAACAAATAAGTCCTAATAATTCTAATGTACATAAATAATGTATAACATATAATAATCATATATATATATATATATATTAGCCACATAATAATTTTATATCAAGTAGACAATACGGCGAGCAATTAATATCATAACCGGCAATTAAATAAAACAAGGCAAACGTTCAATATTATCAAATAACTAATAATATAAAAATCCGAAAAATCTAATAAACGAATGGGGCGCTACAATCTACCCACCTTAAAAGGAATTCCGACCTCAGAATTCAAAAATTAAGGAAAGTAACGAATTACAAGAATACAAAGGCCTCTAAAACGAGAAGGTCGAGAAACTTCCCCTAATCTCAGCCCCCTCTCTCAAGTCGTCTTGGACTTGTCATGTCAGCTCCACTGCACCTTCCCAAGGCTCACTGTCCGGTTCCCCAGCTGATGGACACTATGGTCCAAACGGCCACCGGTACCTACTCATAGGTAAGGTCTCGCTTGACCTGCAGTTCACCGAAGTCCACCATGTGATTCGGGTCATGTACATATCTACGCAACATCGAGACATGAAACACACCATGCACCCTGACAAATCCGGTGGTAAAGCTAGCCGATAAGCCAAGTCCTCGACTCGAGTAA